AAAGGCTTTGGCCGTACTCCTCTCGGTCTGGTAAAAGGAGAAGAATCCAGGGTGAAAGTCATCTCAAAAGGAACATAAGTTCTAAGCTAGTCCTGACAAGTCTTTTATATTTTAATCTATTTTATGTGATACCATCAGTAATGCTCCAGTACATCCCATCGGATTATCAGATTGCTGCATACCCTCCAGTCTAACCATCTACCCTATTTGCCTTAGCTTCATTGTGGACAGATGTTCACATCTTCATAGAGGTTGTAGTGACAATATCTTAGAGATAATCGTATTAGCTTGTATACTTACCGCTTGAGTACAATTTCATAATCAGATATATTTTGTTTATAGCAGTAGAATGTAACATATAAATAATGAGTTATGTTAACCATGTCTACACAATAGAGATAGACCTAGGCTGTTTTCAGCTGCGTTCAGCTGGTTTGTTTGAACTACTGGATCAACAAGAGTTCAGTACTTGTAACCTTTTCTGCCTTAGCTGGAAGGCATGTTATTTACTGCACTACTGGATGCAGTGCTTGGCACCTCTGTTACAAGTACTTTACTTTCTTCAACTCCTGATAATAGAAATCCATATAATCTTCTCTTAGAATGATTGACATGGTTGGAACATACACAGAAATGGGATAATTGACTTTGCACTATATCTCTCTAGATTGTCTAGTCTCTCTACTCTGTAGATCAGCCCACAGTTTTTGCTCAGGGATTAAGCACCAGGGGAAGCATGAATCAGGTTAGATTGATGTACTTTCCCTGTGTTAAACTGGACATGTTTTTCTATTTAGAGAACTAGAAATAATCCATTTTCAATTTCCTTTAGGAACCACCGACTTTTCAATAATAATCTGGTGTTTCAAGGACTTCGCCACCATATCCTTTGTGACACGATTCCCAGGGTCTTTGGAAGACAAAACAGTCCCTCAGCATTACAGGTCCTCCACCATATATAACAGTGTGCTTTTCGAGTATTTCTTGCTGAACAGCTTGCTCTTAGTCTCATTGGATTAAAGCACACTGTTAAAGTTCCAGAATCCATCAAATTCTACATGTCTATTACTTTGTGATGACAGACAGCAAACAAAAAAATATGGCTGCTTTGGTTTTGTCCTGTTTCCTATTTATAAGTTTTGGAGACTTTTACCTTCATTTTGATCAGCATAAATATGAGTCGGATTTATATCTAGGGGTTAAAAGGAATGCCCCCATTTGGTTTCCCATGTGAATTTCAGGGAAACAGTCATAGCTTACTGTTTTGAAGTTCTTTAAAACTCTTGTTAACTTCAAGCAACCAAAACATTGGTTACATGTTTGTAAAAAGGGATTGTTTTAGGTACATTTTTTTGAGCCACAATGGATTTTGTTGGAAACAGATTCTTATGAACTAAACTATTGCTAATTGCTATTTATAGAGAGGCTTTGCCGCAGTAGTACAAATGCATTTATTTTTAGTCTTTTTACAGATATTTCCTAGGTGTGCCAGTGAATAATTAGATTTCGAGTTACGAGTGTTAAACAAGATGGTAAAAGGTTTTTTGTTTGTTTTTATACAGCGGCTTCGTAAACTATAACAGATGTGTAGATATGTGAGACAAATAATAGTTTGGATTGGTCTTGATAGAAACCACACATGCCTTAAAAATATACAGGCAGATGTGTAGAAATCTTTCAAGAAATAGTTTGCAAAAGTGGCTCATAGTAACTATGCTCTGAAAAGCTGTTTAGAGCACAACACAGAGGGTTTCAAGATATAACTCATGATCTTTGCAACCACTTGTTGCATGGATGCAATGCTCACACCTTTAGCCACATTTGAGCAGCTGCAGATCCTTTGCCACAGGCTGCCACAGAACGACTCCCTGTGGGACACAGACAAATAAGAGGACGCAAAGGAGAAAAAGTTGGCACAAATGTCCACTTTCAGAAGCTCCATAATGAGCACACTGTGGCCCCTTTGATAGTGCTTCATCAACTCAGCAGTTAAATGCCTCTCTTTATTTAGCCCTCAAACTGTGCAGACTATCAACTCCAGCATTAAGACAATGAACAATGGTGCATTTACATCTCGCAGCGGGTGCAACGCAGTCCACCACTTTGTGATTACTGTGCCTACTCATTCATCAACCATCACATTAATCCAGATAAGGGCCAGATCAACGCTCAGCTAATATTTTCATCTAGAGTGAGATCTCTGACAGCAAATTAAAAGGGAGAGCTGACGAGTGCAGAGTCCTTCATTGTAGATTGTCAGTAAATCTCAAGTGCTCTAAGGAAGAAAGTAATAGGTGGATGGCGAAATTGATAATATTGTTGTCTCTTATGAAATGAAAGAAGATCTGAAAAAGGAAAGTTGAAAACAGAGATTTAAATACCGTGTTTGTTAAGATAGATAGCCTATTTTTGATATTAAACCAGGAAACTTTTTTTTTTTTCACAGAAAATAAGTTCTAGTCCTTAAATGCCAGAATAATGTCTCCGATTTTTAACCATTAATTTGTTCAAGGCCGTATAAAAGACAAACTTATTGTTTTGTTTTTCTAAATCAAGAAGATGGTAAATTAAGTAGCACTTTTCTTTAATATACATCTTGAAAGTCTATAATGTATGTATATATTTATAGACTTTATTCACAATCTATTCAGATATATAGTATTTAAGAAAGAAATCTTAATTCTTTTAACTCGCAAGTTAGTTTTTGGTATTAGCCAGACTGCTAAATGTTATGTGCTAATGTGTTATGCGTTAAAAATCCTCAACAGATATCTCAACTACATCTAGACTTGCTTTGATAGCAAAGAAAAGGCTCATTCCATTTTGTAAGTATTTAGCAGAATGGTTTTTTGTGACGTTGGTCAAACGTTTGACTTCAGCATTTCAACATATTTTTATTTATTTGGAAAAGTTCACTGGGCTGCTCAGTGGAGCAGTAGGTAGCACTGCCGCTTTGCAGCAAGAATGTTCCGGGTTCAATTACTGGCCCGAGGTCTCTCTGCATGGAGTTTGCGTGTGCTCCCTGTGCATGCATAGGTTCTCTCCGGATATTCCAGCTTTCTCCCACAGTCCAAAAACATTACTTTTTGTTTAATTGGCTTCTCTAAATTCTGCTTTAGTATGAGTGTGTGCATGAATGGTTGCTGCCTTGCAATGGACTGGACACCTGTCCAGGTTGTACCCTTTCTCTCGGGAGATAGGCACCAGCACCCCTAGTGGGACAAGCATGACGGAAAATGGATGGATGGTAGAGTTCTTTTGGGCCGTTCCCTGAAAAAAAAAATTCTTACATCTAGACGGTGGCATCCCAGTACTTCAGTTTGGATTGTTATTCAAACTGAGACCATTGCTATCCCCTCTAGGAGTTGCTATCTCTATGGTCTGAGAAAGACTTATGACCTTTGCATGGGGTACCGCACCTTTCGCCCATAGACTGCTGCAGATAGACAACAGTGCCTCCGTCACACTGACGAATAAGCAGATGAGGATTGATGAATGGATGGATGGAGTGAGTGAGCAGCAGTGGTCATTTCAACCAAGCACTCCCATATTGGTTTCATCAGACCATAGGAATTTGTAAGGTTAATAGGTAATGCCCCTGAGTATATTTGAAAATCTTTATTTTGCATTTTGTGTTGTTTTTGGGGTAATATCTTCTTCCTTTCTGATTGGCCCTTTAGACCATATCAATAGAGGACTGGTTTAACTGTGGATAATGGCACTCTCCTGAGCATCAGCCAGCATCTTAAAAAGTTGTTTTCCTTTTGAGCTGGGATTCATACACGCATTTCATGTAAAGCAGACCCTGTTTCATTCCAACAATAAGGTCAACCAGGGGCCATCCTAAAGTCACTTTAAAGGAAGTAATTAGAAAATAATAATAATAATAATTCAAACATTAGTCTGGTATTTTGCAAGAAGAAATATTTTAGAAGTCAAAATGGACCTTGAACAGCAAGTCTGATTTGAGTCAGAGATAAATAAATAATGGTGAAAACAGTGAAAACTAAAGTTTGCCTTTCTATTAATACAGTCTACATAAACATCCCATTTTAACCATAGCCCTTAGTTTAATGTTTTGGTTTCTGCTTTATGTTGCAAAAGCTGTTGTCTTTAATTTCCTTGTTCTAATCTACACTCTAGTTAGTTAGCAGAGAAATTAAGAATTAAGTAAGTAATTGCAAAGTCCTCTGATGTCTCCCTTATATCTAATGTCCTTTTAATCCAACCTCAACCCATTGGTGAAAATGCTGTGTAACAGATAAAGCCATACACTAGGTTGTGTAGCATATTGCTCAACAAAAGGACATTGTTTGGGTCAATAACAGCTGTTGATAAAGGCCTCAATTGATAAGGACGGTGTCCTTGGCTCAACTTTGCATCTCTTTTGCCTTAGACGTCTTCCCAAACACAGACTGATCTGTGCCTCTGTGCATAGAGGCTTTCTCTATCTCCCATGGAGGGTGGCAAGGGGAATATTAAAGACAGAGCTCTTGTCTCTTTAGTCTGAGTGAAAGAAAGTGCAGTTTAACTCCTCTGTGACCAGAATGAACGTCTAAAAATATACCATGACCGAGCAGTAAAAGTGACCAGGAGCATGTAAACGTCCTTGCGTAACTCTGGCAGTTTTGGCGCGATGGGGGATTAAACCTCCGGGCAGACAGTTACAGCTAGTGAAGAGTAAACTTACTCTGCGGCACAGAGGAGCGAACTGGTGGGCGAATGACAGCAACTCAGCCTGTCCTATTAATTAGAGCAATTGGCGTGATTTCTGCTCTGCCATCAGGGATGTGGGTGTGCTGTGCTGGCAGCAAATTGACCTCTATGTGGCGGCCGGGCAATATGGCAGCATGGAGGAGAGAAACTGCAATGAAAAACTGTTGAGGTGGTCCATGAATATTAGTCATTTAGATTTTGTTTTTATTTCCTCAACCCAGCAAGATTTCAGAACATTTTTTCCTACTTACTGTTTCTTCGTTTTGTTCTTTTATTTCTCCCAGAGCCCATGCGTCCGCTGCAAGGCCTCATCGCCACAGATATCCAGTCCAGGCAACTGTCCCTGCAGTGGGAGAATCTGGCGTTCAACCTGACACGCTGCCACACCTACTCAGTGTCCCTGTGCTACCGCTATACCATGGCGGGAGGCGGTGGAGGCCACAACACCACCGTCCGTGAGTGCTTGGCAGTGGAGCACAACGCCTCACGCTTTACGCTTCGTGACCTTCCACCATACCACAGCATTCACGTTCGGCTGTCACTGGCAAATCCAGAGGGGAAGAAGGAAAGCAGAGAGGTCACTTTTCAGACTGAAGAGGACAGTAAGTACTTCATAGGGGTTAAGCTGTTGATACTTGGAAAGATTTAAAAAAGTTTCAATTTGGCCAGCATGTTGGGAGCCTAAAGCTGTGCAGGTATGTTTTACATTAAGTCTGTTTGATTGCAAATAACCTATGACAGCATGTTTTTATTTTAACATTGAAAGCAATAACGGTTTAACATGCTGCCTCCCTTTGAGAGCATTTGTATAATATCATGGTACATGATCATTAATTGCACAATAGGCAAGGCTATTCTAGCAAGTCCTGTAGCCCAGAGCACCAACACTTTGAAGGTCTCAAATATACATATTATGTATTTATGCTTTAGTATTTTAAAGTATTTTATGTTTTAAAGCAAAACCTTTTAGGTTTTTTTTTATTTTGGGAAATTTCATATAGTGCATTAGGCCTACATGACTATTTGAAACAGCCAAATATTTTTTTATGGGGACAAGATCCAGATAACTGGATGTTGCTGTTTATTTACCTATTAAACTATTTCAATTTACAGGCACCTAATATTGTTCACATTTCAATTTACAAGATTAAGACGATAACTTTCTCACTCCACCCCTTTAGGTGCAGGTGAAAGGCATAAATTGGGGTGTGTATTAGCCCTTTGGCTATGTTCACACTCCAAATCTTAATGCTCTATTACGATATTTTTGTGTGGCTCTTGACACAAACGTCTCAAACTGTGGCCCTTAAGTGACCCTCATGTGCAGAAAAACTGTAACAAGACGTTTCAGACAGACCTTCAAAGAGGACAGCCTGTGAAGTCAGTGTCTATGGATGGATATAAAGTTCTTTAAGCAGTGGAAGTTGTTGGCTGTTACAGCTGACAATGTAAAACAAGTAAAATGGGGAGTAAGGCTACGTTCACACTGCAGCCTGAAGTTACCCAAATCCTATATCTTTTCATGACAGTCTGAACAACACAGATCCGATTTTTTCCAATCCGACCCATGCCACTTGGCCATGGGGTCCTGAATCCGATACGAATCTGATATTTTCAAATGCGACCTGTGTCTGAACGATCAGGTCGCATTTGTCCGACCTGAACGCCATTAGTAACTGACATAGGTCACTATTCTGCTCCTTACTACACAGAAGCGGCAAGAAAAACAAACACCATGGCGGACGATGATGCGGAGAGCAGTTTCTTTATTAACCATCTTGAAAAGATTGAGGTTTTAAGGTTTGGAAAGATCACTAGATGTGCTCCAGCACTACATCGATGTTTATTTCCGTAAACACGAAGCACGCTGGCTTGTGATGTCGTTGAGTCCTCTACTGTGCATGCGGGAAACTTAAGCTGTATGAATGCAGTTCACACAGGAGATCACATACAAGTCACATGTATTTGGAAATATGAACGGCAACGCCAACAAAGCGGATTTCACAAAAAAATCGGAATTGAGCATCAAAGCCGGCAGTGTGAACGTAGCCTAAGAGAGCTTAACTAGAGCTCAACAAAATGGATTCCATGTGACTTGGCCTGTTCACACTTTCACGAAAGAATCTTACCTGAATCACTTCAGGGCAAAAAAAATAAAAAATCTGATTTGGGCCACATTTGTGTGCAGTGTGAACATATTCTTTTTGCCATGGGCAGTACCAAAAAATTTATTTTTGGAGCAAAGTACAAGATACATTTTAGAATATCCTATCTCAGAAAAGAAGGCATGAGGTATCTGTTGTCACAAAAAAAATAAATAAATAAATAACCGTAGCAGGTCTAAGAAAATAGTTAACAGGTCTTGTTACATGATAACTTTTATTTTTGAGACATGATGATTTGCTGACATGTTCACTGTAGCAGAGGTAACATCATGGCTTGTGTGTGATGAAGCAGTTTGTGTAAAGTAAGGTTCGACTTAAACAGGTTGAAACAGACCGATCCTACTGTAACACATTTAGCCTTCCTGTGTCTTTCTCTCTTTACTAAGATGGAAAAATATTCTGACCCTAAACGATGAAAATGGTTTCCTCAAAAAAAAAAAAAAAAAATCATACACCTCTCTTGTAAACTTAAATGTTTTAGAATAGCTAAGTGTTATATTTTGAGTATACTTGGGGAGCAGTGGGCTGCCATCGTGGGGTGCCCCGGGAGCAAATTAACAGCAAATATATATGGTATGCATTGTTAAAAAAAGGGTATCTTCAATATGCACTTTATAGTTATTTTTTACAATTGTTTATTTTTTGTTCTACTAAAAGATTCCTTTGCAGCACTTGGTATGGTTTAACTATTTTGAAAACCAGATGTTTTCCCAAAGGACATAATTTAGTGTATTTGTTAAATGAAGCATAAGACTTTTGTTGTTTTAATGTGTTTTAATCTTCCAGTAAATGTCACTGAGATTTTCCAGGTCTGAAATGCCCAACTTTAAATGTCTGTAGTTCTTCAGAACCTCTTTTAAATCAAATATGTTGCCGTGGACATAAATCTGTTACTCCAAATGAATAAAACAGAAAAAACAAGGGGTTCATACATCAATCAGTTATTTTTCAGCTCAGCATATTTTAGAATAAAACAGTTCTCCAACAGTTTAGTACAGCGGTGATGTTATCCATCTGCCTGATCTGATTGATTCTGTTGAAGCATCACAAAATAAGTTTATTTTCAGACTAAGACATAAGAGAGAAAATAAGGAGTCTTGAGAAAGAATTTCATGCGTCTTATCTTCTATTTTTTCACTGTGGTGGCACGTTGTTCCCTTGGTATTGGAGAGAAAAATCAATTCTCACATGAAAGAAAATCCAACCAAACCTGATTTCTTACAATGAGGTAAAGATAAACAGAATGAAGAAAAAAACATAAACTTGTAAACCAAGAAATGTTTCGTTTAACTGTTTGGATAAAGATACATATGCCTATTTAAATATAGAGTATGCCAATTATAACAGCTCCTTTTCAAAGTCTAAGTAAACAAATTTGTCATGTGGATTATCTGAATTCAAAGAGACAGCTCAGCTGTTTGACTCTTGCTTTAGCCTCAGGCCTGAATCTACTAGTCTTCCTCTGTAGACAGACTCTGAGGACACAGCCTTCAACTCTATGGCCCAAAAACTGCTTCAACTTAAATATTCAGTCGTTCGTATTCCTCTCAGAAACTTATTTCTGAGCAGGCAGCTCATATATTCATATATATATTTCAACTTAAAGTGAAAAGGGTGTGAAATTATAATATTTTGTTGAAGGTTTTCTCTAGTGTGTGTTGAAAATATATCATTCATGCAGTTTATATATTAAAAGTATCCTTATCTGATCTTCTCTGCCTGTCTGCTCTCTGGAAGTGAGTTTCTCATGTGGCTCTTTGTTCTGAGCCACTGTGACATTCACTCCGGTGATATTGACACGACAGGCTCATCGTGGGATCAGCACTTCAATTTCCCTGACAAATGTTTGCTCTGACAATTTCTCATAGTTCCCGGAGGCATAGCACCAGAGTCGCTCACCTTCACACCTCTTGATGACATGATCTTCCTGAAGTGGGAGGAGCCTGTTGAGCCCAATGGCCTAATTACGCAGTATGAGGTGAGCCCATGGAGACACCTCTGCTAACTTAACTTACACACTTCACTGAGCAGCACAGATGTACATTGATGTACATTGGGCATCTTTTTTACATGATAAAACAAATGACTCCCTAAATAGAAATGTGTTTATTGCACTTGATATATAGTAAATTGTAATATTTTTGTTTTTATTTTATTTCACTGCAACAAATGAAAAAGATTCATGTTTATGTGTGATTTAGAGCCCTGTCTCTGAAGCATTAAACCTAGACTTTTTTTGTGTGAAAAGTTCTTCTATTTTGTTTTATTTTGAAAGTCCATCTTAGCCACTGCACTGGAAAAAAATCTAAATCTAGATAAGTCATTGTTCCTTAAAATAAGTGCATTTGTTCTTGGATTGGGGAGGTAAAAGAGACACCTTGCCAATGGAACAAGACATTTTACACCTAAAATAAGAAAACATAATTGCATTGTCTTACTTAAAGTGCATATTATCCAATTATCTTAATTCAAGGGTAAAAATACTCATTCCATTGGCAAACTATCTCATTTACCTACTCAAATTAAGGGTAGGAAAAACATTTTTACTTATTTCTAGATCCTTTTTCCAGTGTGATGTAGACGCATTGCTTCCCAGGATGACAAGCACTGCTCCTATGTTAGCTGCTAACAATGAAAGCAACTTTGATTAGTCACCACTCAGTGCTGATAAAAAATAAAATCAGTTGATCAACAAGTATGTCCAACAGACATAGAGGTGCAAACAAAGGGATAAACTTTGGGTTGCTATAAGAAGACAAAAGTGAGGGGCAGTTTTTCTAAGTAGTATTTTCCAGTAGTTGCAGGTACAGTATATTGCAGAGGCAGTTTGGGAAATTTCTGAATCTTACTTCTGACTCTCAAAAGTAAATATTCTGAAAGTCTTATCCAAATCTCCACTTCTTTGGTCACTGGAGTTCATAATTGGGCAGAATCATCTTCTGCAGCACTCCAAAATATATTTTATTTCCTAGAAACTGAAATGTAGCAGTTCTTGTGGTATTTTTGTTTCACTGCTAGGAAAAAAAACCCTCACTGTCCATATGCTGAGCCATTTTCAGTATCACTGACACAAAGCAAAATTATGGGATGTGCTTAATAAAAAAATCCTGCTCTGTAGCGCATTTCAGTGCACAGCCCAATGTGTCCCTACTAACAAAAATAGCAGAGAGGGCTTGATACATTCACTGACCTTGCACACAGGCTTGGACTTAACATTGCACTTGTCCCATTGGAACCGAGGCTGGAACTTTTAATCAATAACTCACATACATTTGTTTTAGCTGTGGGGCCTCTATTTAGCTGGATAATGATTTTGTATTTACTGTACACTCTCTCTTTTTCAGTAGGTCTTCCTACAGATCCTTGGATTAATGCTTCCTTTCTTGACCTTTTGTGCAAGGGCTTTATTGAACCAGACCTCTAGGCTGACAAATAAAGGGGATGCTGTACCTGATTTTTGTGTTTACTTGTGATGATGACCATGGACTGACAGAGAAAGAAAGACAAAGATATCATCTTCATTACTCAACGACTGATTTATTGACCACATGGTCTAAATGCCATGAACTGTACAGCAGTTCTGCAAATCCTCCTTAATATTCTTGCCATCATCTTCTCTCACTTTTTGTTTTTGTTACTTAAAAGTAAATTACTATATTGTAACAACAAGAAGGCACAATGTGAGGATGACAGAGTTAGAGAGATACTCTCAGTGTGCAGTCTAGGCATTCACATTCATAATGCTTTCCTGCATTTATTCCTTTAGAGGCTTTGATATACGTCCTAATATCCTCACTCTGAATGCAGGCGGGTCACATCAGTCAGCTCTTGTCTTTCAAACAGTACAAGTGGAAGCTCTCCACCAGGTGCATGAAAGGCAAGAAGCCTCTTGAAGAAAAACTACAGAATTTCACTTTTTAAGGACGCTGACTTGTGGCATTCTGTTAACAAGAGTTAATCGATGTCATAAACACTTACCAGCAGTGATTTAAACACTTGAGTCTACTTTTTAATGTGTGGTGTCCAGAGCTTTTGACCTCAATAATGTGCTACTTAGGCAGGCAATCACTCATTGTTCACATTAGTTTTTTGAAGAAAGCCCACATTGCTTAAACTAATGCGACTCAACAGTGGCAATGTCAATTAGGCCTTATTCATGTGAAATTTCAGACTGCACCGGTGTAATCAGCAGAACCATTTAAGAAGCTCATTTATTTTTTAATTGAGTGAATCATAGTGAGTAACTTCAATAAAACCTTCCGAGGGCTGAGTTAATGGTCTTACATGAAATCTACAAAAGTCTGTAAACACAACTCAGAATCTAGATCACTCGCTCCTATCTCAATATTTTAAACTTTCTCTTGTTTTTTCACCTCAACAGATCAGCTACCAGAGCATTGAGTCGTCGGATCCAGGCATCAATGTACCAGGTCCTAGAAGAACGGTGTCCAAGCTCAAAAACGAGACGTACCATATGTTCTCTAACCTCCACCCTGGAACAACATACCTGATCTCTGTCCGGGCGCGTACAGCAAAGGGCTTTGGACAAACAGCCCTCACAGAAATCACCACTAACATCTCAGGTGAAACACCAATTACGTACACTAATATCGCCAATTATAAGAAATTACAAGAAATATTTTAGCTTTGTTTAATGTTAGTAAATATGGTTTTATGCTTAAAATAAAGAAGTCAGGTCTTTATGCATCACTCAAGGGAATTGGATTAGTAGACAATTAGGATGTATTTTAGAAATCTGTAAAAAAAAAAAAATGCAATAATAAGATTAAAGTCTTTAGCCTTTTATCATTATTCAGCTCCTCATAAAAAATTACCAAAATACCAAAGGAATTAAAGTGATTAGTTATGGTATTAAGCCCATGGGTCAAAAAATAGCCTATTTACTGTATTGATTTGGAATACGAGGAGTAAATGACAAGATGTGAGCACATGGGTGGAATTGCTTGTAAAATTCTGAAGGCAGACCTTTTTTTAAAGATTTTTTGGCACTAGGAGGACCTGCGGCAGAGGTAATGGGGCAGGATTCATACCTCTGGAGGCAGCTTTGAAGACTAACGCCTATGTACATTAGTTCAAGCTTTACCCCTGTACCCATGTAATGTCATACCTGGAATAATGAGCCTTTTTACAGAGGAATAATTCACGAAAGAAAGTTCCTTTAAATACATAAGAAATAATTGATTGTGCAATGTTTTGGTTTGGTTTGTTTTTGAGGCCTTGGTATGACACAGTGAGGAGCCTTTTACTTTTTGGATTTGTGTGCTTGTTGGGGGATAGTCATGCCTGGAAAGCGGCTAGCAAGCTGTGCAGTTGAATCAGTCTTGTTCTATCAGCTATGCCCCTGGTGACCATTATTGGTAATTCGCTGGTAATCACCTTCTTAATAGCTTGTGTTTTAGAAGCATGAGGAAAATCTATCTTTCATCCACAGATTGTTTATACTCAACAAAGACTTCAGCCACTGTATATGCTGCGATATGGATTTTGGCATTGTTTTCTTTCGACTATAATGTTTTTCCTTCACTGACGCAAAAGCTGATACTGTGGGAGAGCCATATTTCAGTGCTCCTCCAAACTTCCCGGGTGCTGTCACCTCACAGTCCACAGGATATAAATTAACTCATAGAAGGCAGAGAAACATCACATAGGGAAAAGGTCTGTGTGTAGTATATGAAGAGAAATGTAGTAAATCCCTGAGACTTGAATGTCACTTCCAGGAGTCTCTGAGCTTATTATGTGTGGTAAAAATTCAGCCTTTTTTTTTATTATGCTTTTTTCTTTTGGTAAGGGGTGGGATTACAACCCAATGGAGCTCTGCTCCTCTTTTGCTAATAAATTATCCTTATTTTTAGCCCATATATCTTTTCAGGAAGGTTTAGGCTCTGTACGTATAATAGATTAAACTCACCATTTTGGCCTATTGGCTTCTTATGAGACAGACTTCTGGCATCAAGCCATGACTACAGATACAGTTCAGAAGTCTTTGCAGATCATCATCTTCTTGCTTCAGCGGCCCACAGTGCAGAACATTCACTTACGCTGAACGTCTCCTAAATCTGCGCTGACAGCTAGCAAACACTGAACACCTTCAACAGCCACTACTGTCAGCATCTTTAAACAACACCCACCACAGAGTACCTGACTGCACACATTTCCTCATTCGCCTATGCCCTTATACATTCAGTGGATGCGTCGCTGTGGCTGATGCAGTAATGTCCCTCAGACAGACTGGACCTGGCAGCAGGCTTCAAACTGTTTTTTACTGCCGTGCTCTGTTAACATCAGAAAAAGCACAGCCGGTATTCTTTAAAGCCTCCACCCATAATTGATGTCAGGTCTATTCTGCTGCAGTATTAGCAAACTGCTTTTTAATTCGATAATTATCTATGCCTCATGAATAGTTTGCTCTGCTTCCCCTTTGCTAATTGACTGCTGATATTGAAGAGAAATGTGCCACAACATCTCTGGGGAGGAGCACAACTTTAGCCATATCCCTTCCAATGAGAAAGGCATTCAATTTAGCCTCATTGCTGTGATTGTTAATTGGCGTTGTGTCCAAGAGAACTGGAAAGGGAATTCAAGTATTGTGTTCAAAATAAGGTTGTGGGTGTAAGCTGTTACATAAAGGTTGTGATGCTAAATGCTTTATGTAAAATAGGGGTAAGCAGTCTGCTACCACTGGTCTAGGACATTATTTTAAAAATATCTCAAAACCAGATTAGGCAGAGATTGTATCTAAACAGATATAAGGGGTTAGTCTTGCTGGAAGGTGAACCTCTGCGCCATCTTCTGCTGGCTTGAACAGATTTTTATTATTGTTTTTTTCAACGTTTCCTTGTCCCTGCTAAAGAACTGCATCCGACAACATGATACACTATATTGCCAAAAGTATTTGCTCACCCATCCAAATTATTGGAATCAGGTGTTCCAATCACTTCCATGGCCACAGGTGTATAAATTCAAGCACCTAGGCATGCAGACTGTTTTTACAAACATTTGTGAAAGAATGGGTCGCTCTCAGGAGCTCAGTGAATTCCAGCGTGGAACTGTGATAGGATGCCACCTGTGCAACAAATCCAGTCGTGAAATTTCCTCGCTCCTAAATATTCCACAGTCAACTGTCAGCTGTATTATAAGAAAATGGAAGTGTTTGGGAACGACAGCAACTCAGCCACGAAGTGGTAGGCCACGTAAACTGACGGAGCAGGGTCAGCGGATGCTGACGCGCATAGTGCGAAGAGGTCGCCAACTTTCTGCAGAGTCAATCACTACAGACCTCCAAACTTCATGTGGCCTTCAGATTAGCTCAAGAACAGTGCGCAGAGAGCTTCATGGAATGGGTTTCCATGGTCGAGCAGCTGCATCCAAGCCATACATCACCAAGTGCAATGCAAAGCGTCGGATGCGGTGGTGTAAAGCACGCCGCCACTGGACTCTAGAGCAGTGGAGACGCGTTCTCTGGAGTGACGAATCGCGCTTCTCCATCTGGCAATCTGATGGACGGGTCTGGGTTTGGCGGTTGCCAGGAGAACGGTACTTGTCTGACTGCATTGTGCCAAGTGTAAAGTTTGGTGGAGGGGGGATTATGGTGTGGGGTTGTTTTTCAGGAGCTGGGCTTGGCCCCTTAGTTCCAGTGAAAGGAACTCTGAATGCTTCAGCATACCAAGACATTTTGGACAATTCCATGCTCCCAACTTTGTGGGAACAGTTTGGAGCTGGCCCCTTCCTCTTCCAACATGACTGTGCACCAGTGCACAAAGCAAGGTCCATAAAGACATGGATGACAGAGTCTGGTGTGGATGAACTTGACTGGCCTGCACAGAGTCCTGACCTCAACCCGATAGAACACCTTTGGGATGAATTAGAGCGGAGACTGAGAGCCAGGCCTTCTCGTCCAACATCAGTGTGCGACCTCACAAATGCGCTTCTGGAAGAATGGTCAAAAATTCCCATAAACACACTCCTAAACCTTGTGGACAGCCTTCCCAGAAGAGTTGAAGCTGTTCTAGCTGCAAAGGGTGGACCGACGTCATATTGAACCCTATGGATTAGGAACGGGATGTCACTTAAGCTCATATGTGAGTCAAGGCAGGTGAGCAAATACTTTTGGCAATATAGTGTATCATCATCACAGTTCTCTGTGGGTATGGTTCAGAGTGATGCTCACTGCTAGTTTTCTGGCCTACATCGTATCTTGCAATTAATCCAAATGTTTATTTTCATTTATATAAACAGACACACTTCTACCACCTACTTGCAGCAAACAGAGCTCTGTATAACTTCCTTTTAAAAAAGGCTTTTCTTAGGCCCCATCCACGCAAAGTCAAAACGAACACGTAACGCTAATATTTTCCAGAACGTTTGTCGTAAAGACGGAGACATAAAATAAATGTGATCGACCACACGAATGCATGAAAACGCTGCAAAATGTATGCCAGGCCTGTAAGTGGTACTGTGGTGCCAAAGCAAAAATATGCTAAAAAAACAGGCAACAAAATGTAGGGCATGCGCAGTAATATTTATACATGGTTGCCCTACGCGTCCATTTTCGTGGTTCAGTCAAATTCAGGTGCTGAACTATGTCGTCGATATTGCTCTGTTCTTCCTGGAGATATTCCAGAAGAAGAAGATTCTGTTGTAAGCCCGACAGCAGGGTGAGTAGCATGAGCAGCAACCATTCAACACAGTACGGCGCCATTGTTGTTGTGATACTGTGTCGCGCATGCGTGTTTGGAGGCGACGCTATGACACATGCGTGTAAGAAAAAAAAAATGCGGTTAGACCTTAAAGATGGAACCACAAAAAAGGCGTTTCAAAATCTTCCCACTCTGAATGCTTAATAAAAAAAAGATCGTTTACAGACCCCCGAAACGCCGGCTTCGTATGGATGAGAGGCTGGTTTGGTGAAAAATTTGTGCGTTTAGGCCAGGGTTTGACTTTATGTGGACGGGGCCTTAGTGTTTATCCTCCATAATAAAGAGGTTTTTGATTATTTTTTTTTTACAGAATTTTATTGTCATTACACTGACACAAGTACAGAGCAAGGAAATGAACTCTCTGCATTTAACCCATCCCATTGGGGGCCAGTCAGCTGCCATAGTGCGGCGTCTGGGGAGCAGTGTGGAGGTTAAGGGTCTTGCTCAGAGACCTAGAGTGGTAGTCCGTGGGTTTGGGGCTCAAACTCAGAACCTCAGGATTCCAAGCACAATGCCCTAATCACTAGACCACCACTCCCCAAAGCAGGCATTAGAGTGAAGGGTCTTGCCTAAGGACCCACACTGCTCATTCCCCCCAGCTGGGATGCGAACACAGTCCCGTTTGCAGGACGGGGGACTTACCATTTGAGCTAGCCAGTCGCTGCAAGACTAATAGGGCTGCTGTCATCAGAAACTCTCATTTGAGCCGTGGATCTCTGCTGCTCCTCCAGACTCACCATGAGCCTCTTCTTTGCTTCCCCAGCCTCTAGCTTTAGATTTACTACCATGCCTCTGTACTTTTGTAGCTGCGCCATTCTTAAATGATGGATTGAATAATGCACTGCACAGCTGTGTGTCGCAGTGAGCTTAACGCAGACATTTTTGATTTTTGCTCAAGAGAATCAGGAACTAGCTGTGGGTCTAGATACGGCCGAGGCGGTGAGGAAGTGGGGGTGAGTTAGTCTGACAACGGAGGGACATGAGGGCGAAAAAGAGCAGGGATCCAGGTAGAAAAAAGGTCCCAGCGTTCTCGCGCACCTCACTCTTTTAGCTGGTCAATCTTCACGAGTTGTTTTCTGCAATTGCAGTCATAAAAACAAAACAAGCTGGTCTCCTGTCTGCGGCACTGTCTGCAGTCAGCTACAATTTGGGAGAGATGCAGCGGATGGGGCGGGGACGTCTTTTTGGCTACCTTCACACTGCAGCCTGAAGCGACCCAAATCCAATTTTTTGGCCCATGTGCGACCTAGATCTTATCTTTTCATGGCTGTCTGAACAACACAGATCCGATTTTTTCCAATCCAACCCAGGCCACTTTGCTATGTGGTCCTGAATCCGATACGAATTTGATCTTTTCAAATGCGACCTGTGTGTGAACAGCCAGGTCGCATTCATCCGTCCTGAACGTCATTAATACTGGACAAAGGCCGCTATTCTGTGTCTTGCTACGCAGAAGCGGCAAGAAAAACAACAACCATGTCAGATGATGATGCGGAGAGCAGTATTTATGTTTAACCATGTTAAAAGATTGAGTTTTTATGGTTGGAAAAGATCGCTAGATGCGCACCGGCACTACCGTCCATGTTTACTTCCGTAAACATAGAGCACACTGGCCCGTGACGTCATTGCATCCTCTACTGCGCATGCGGGACACTTGCGTTGTATGACTGCAGTTCACACAGCAGATCACATACAAGTCGCATATATTTGGAAATATGAACGGCAACGCAAAAAAAAATCAGATTTCACAAAAAAAATCGGAATTGAGCATCAAGGCCTGCAGTGTAAACGTACCCCTTGTTCCCTGCGACACCTACACAGACAACCTAGTTTTTAAGTATAATCAGGCTTCAGATGTTTTAACCCTAGATTTTATAAACTATCCCCACTTTGAATGTTTTCAGCCCCCACGTTTGATTATGGAGACATGCCGTCACCCCTGAGTGAAACAGAGAGCACAATTACTGTGCTGCTGCGCCCTGCACAGGGCAGAGGAGCACCGGTCAGGTGAGGAGATCACCCCAAAACAACATATTGTATGCTTTCAATACCATGGTTTATTAAAGTTGCATTCCCACGTTGTTTCCAGTACATACCAGGTGGTGGTTGAAGAGGAAACTGTGAAGAAAGTAAAGAGGGAGCTTGGACTTCAGGAGTGCTTCCCATTGCCCATGTCTCATGGTGAAGCACAGGCACGGGGTACACCGCACTACTACACAGCCGAGCTGCCGCCCAGCAGCCTGCCAGAGGCCAGTCCCTTCACTGTTGGAGACAACCACACATACAACGGCTACTGGAACAGCCCATTGGACCCGCGCAAAAGCTACCTGGTCTACTTCCAGGCTATGAGCAACTTCAAAGGGGTGAGTGACCACACTCTGGCGAGAGATGTGCAGATCTGACAGCATTTGATCATCAAGCTTTAAGCAGAAGGGTTTAAAGCAATTCCAGAGAAGAGCCTTTTTAAATAAGAGTCTGTTTTTATCAGCTCTTATCATGCGGTTAAAGCTGCTGAACAGCTGGCATTGTCTGAGATCACAACCCCTGAAGGAGTATTTGTGCTGTAATATTCTAGGCTGTAAATATTTATTTCCCCCTTATTTTAATTCCAGATTTTTGAGTATGGAGACACTCTGACTGGTTGGAATCATTTAAAGCACACAATGTACTTCATGTAGCTCTCAGTTCCAATCCAAGGCTGTTTTCCTACATCATTGTTTTTAAGCAGACTAACACACACTAACACACCTTGTGTGATGCCACATTACCTTTCCAAACTCCATCAAAGAGAAAGCATTTACCTTGGCATTGCAATTACTTAAACTTAATTGGGCAAAGGTGCAGATAACCAGAAGTTAAAAGATTGTGCTTTAAATTTTTAAAGACTGTGGAAATTAGCAGGGATTGCTAAAGGATAAGTGAATGTGACAGTGGTAAAAATAAGTATTCATTAAATATTCCACATAAGACTGAATTATATAAAAAAATATTTACAATTGGATTCTTGCAGCAGAAGAAAACATTTTTAAATAGTTTTCTCAAAAAGTCACTATTTATAGTGATCTATCATTTCCTTTAGAATTTTGGCCCCAAAGCCTGATTCATTTTGGCTCACTTTTCTTTTCTTGATCTTTTTTTTATCTGTTGGCCCACTTTAAGCCCCTTGATAAGGGATAAATGTTGCTATATGATGCTTTGAAATATACAAATCATCATAAAGGTTTGCATTGAGTTGTCCTTTCACTCTGGATGTTATACACTGCAGTTTTTTTAGGGAATACTTTAAAGGTACTGTTAGTCTTTCCTATAGATAGAAAGCAGACCCACAATTAGTTCAATGTTCTTCACTGTTGGCAGATAAGCAGACATGGCAGGTGGCAGCATTTCTTATATCTTATGTGAAAAGGATTTTTTTTCCAGATGTCTCAAACAATTACAGAAAGGGTTCTGTGCAAGAAAATACTGTTTAACCAGCACCAAACCGGGGGGCAACACTGCTGTTTATTCTACACCTGGTTATGGAGCTTGATGGATACTTTTGGGTGTTTTAACAATAAAAATAAACCTATATTTAAAGTTCCTATTGAGCTGAAAATCTCAATAGGGAGTAGTCTGATATTTTGTTCTTAGCAAAAGACTCCTTACTACTGAGGTCATTTTAGCCACTTTCTGTAAACCCGGGTTTTTCAAAACCAGGTTGAACCACTAACAATCACCTTTTACCTCTTTTCCCAATTGACTTAAAAGCCGAGTCTGACCCCCGCTGGCAAGCTGTGTGGCCACTGTCCTCCACCACTGTGTATCTGATGATTCATCACGCTGGGTGATGTAAATAATAGAGGGCAACATTGACGCGAGCCAGAGCATAGTCAGTATTCTTTATTAGTTCGCACTTTTATCTGTTCCAATCCCTCTTACCAGTGACGCACCATGTTTATTGAGTTGTTCCGGCTTGTTAGATCAGAAGCGACTGGCGGGTTGTGTTGACATCTGTACGTTGTGTTCAATGGTTTCACATAATTTAAAAGGTCAACCTGGTCTGGTGTTCCCACAGCATGCTGACCAGAGCCGAGCCGATTTTAACGCGGGTCGATTGCCGAGTCGTTTGATCCTGTTTTTAAAGTATACCTCAGTTAATACAGAAACACTTATGTTTTTAATTTAATTATGTCATGATTATGATTTAATCTCCATACCTGTCAGACACTGAAAAACATACACCTGTCTATAAATATTTTTCCAATATTCCTGCTTTGGAGTGTAGTAAAATACCACATTACATTTGATCAGTATCATAGCTCACCCACCAATGATGTTACCATGGCTAAAATGTCTCATCTTTATCCTGCTATTCCCTTTTTTAATGATGGTGGATGTTAAGCTGGTTCAGAAACATCACAATGTGTACCCTAAAATACGTAAAACTAGATTAGGATGCTAGCACTTCTCATCTATCTTATATTCTTCTATAGAAACCAGTCTGCTTATTAAGTTGAGTGATTCCATTAGGCTTGAATTTGGTTTATGTTAATTAGAAGCAAATTTAGCTTATTGTTTAATGCCAGAGTCTAAGCATTGTGAAAACAGAATAACTATCATTTGAGTTATTTAAAATCCATTTCCTCATTAAACACTGTTTTCTAAAAAAAAAAAAAAACATTAACTGTCACAATATTAACTAAAGCAGTGAAATTTGAAAAGCAGCATATGTTTGACTGCCAAAACCAAGTGCCATGATTATAGCAGAGCAACGCTGCTTTGAATTTGGTCAAATAAGAAGTTTTTGCTTGTGTCTGAGTCTTGTTACACTATAGTTGCTCTTTTTATCCCTTTCTTTTTGAGCCTTGTTTGGGATATAAAGTCCCACAAAAATGACTGGGTGGCACATGCTCACCAGTATCATCTTTTTTCCAACTCAGTGGAGAAGCACATGGAGGGAAGTGCAGTGTGAGCACTTCACAAAACTAGACTGCTAAGCATGGGATTAGATAGGGGACGCCTGGCTTTACCAGCGGAAAGGATTACGTTTTGTTTGGCCTGGCAGGAGGCCAGCATTCTTGACCCATAGTGCCAAATCATACAGCCAACATTGTCTCCAGTCTTTCAAATGCTGCAAAATACACTTTCATTCAGGGCTAAAATCTTGCTGCTTTTCTGGACACACATTAGTGTTCAAATATTCCGTAAAAGATGCAAAAAATAAAAAGAGGTTATCATTCAAGAGCATTCAAGTTTGTGGCAATTAAATCATACAGAGGTTGTTGTTTGTAAAATGCAGTAAATTTCAGGACAAAACAAATGGTGGCATGTCATCACAATCCTGCAGACGCCATGAGCTGTGTTGATAAGACACAACACAAATTCCTAAAGTGAAATTGAAGGAGACTAAAGTGAATATTCTGAAAGTATGTAAAACTGGTAATTAGACTTTTCCCAAAGCAGTCATTATACCAATCTCTGTTAATGGTGTTACTAGCATTCAAGAGCCATCATTTTCCCCTCACATTGTTATCTGAGAATGATCACATCCATATGTTTGAATTAATCTATTAGAAACAAGTAGTAAAGTTGAGTTTATGTTAAGGTTGTACCAGGAGTCTTCCAGCAGTTAAATAGTTGGTGCTCTTTTGGATATTCTTCTGAAATAACACTCTATTGTCACGTCCTATTCAAACTTTGGCTTATAAACATTTAGGCCAAACAAATTGAATTCCAGTTTTGAATCATTAGTTAAGAACCTTTCACTTCAAGCTTAAGCCAATGTATATTTTGAATAGTCTTTATCCCATGTTTGTCATGGTAGCATGAGGGTATTTGAGGACCTAAATGCAGAGATCAGGAGGCAGAGGGGAGTCTTGAACATTTATTCAGGCAACTGAGACAAAAACCCAAAGTACAAAAATACAAGGAACCAAATAATCCAGAAAACTTCAGGGGGAGTCAGAGATGATGAAGCAGCAAAACACAACAAGGAACCAGCACTGAGTGACTGCAGAGGTGGTGTTTATAAGGGGAACGGAACAAAGGATGAGCTAATGAACTGAATATGGAACAGGTGTGAGGAACTAACTAGAAGGAAGCCAAGGGGAAAAGGAAAAAAGTGTAAGGGGGCAACAGAGAGTTTCTAAAGACAGCTTAAATATAATGGAAAATAAACCAAAAATCAACATAACAGAGTAACTGATAACTAAAAACTAAAAACTCAGAGTCCCAAAAGGGGACAACCATAACAATATTTTAAAGTAACACTACTTTATTAACTTATAAGACTTATCTTCCAGAAATACAATTAATTATGATTTTAGCCAATTTTAATTTTAAAATATCAATAGTTAAGTAATCTAAATAATTACATAGGTTTTTTATTAAAACATCAAAAAATTTAGAAAATAAAAGTTAGAGAGAACTGAAACTACAGAACAGAAAATCTTTTGATACTGTAAAACCTGGGTCAGAACGTGGCACAAGTATTTGTAGATAATAAACCCCAATAGAATTTACAGGATTATTGTGGGAAAGTGTTTCAGGAAAATTCAGTAAAACATAACTGCAGTCGTGCGTACGTCGTTCATACTCCTGTGTAGGTTAGGCTTAGGGACAGGGTTGGTAAATCAATGAACCAATAGTCGTCTGCACAATCAACATGCCCACACTGGCCTGCAGCGATAAGTCCCATTTACACTACCCTTTAGAAACCGTGATGTTTAGCATGGTTTGTTAATGGTCGTAAGAACCAAGCTCAGCACGGTTAACTGATCCAAGCTCGGTTCGAACTCGACACAAATTGGTTTTCATAGGGGTAGTCTAAACTGGGCGATACTGTTCTCGGAAAATCTCTAATAACCCGATCTTTAGCCAGATACGGTGTAGATTCTAAAAGGTGTGTTGAAATACCAGTGAGGGCTGGGTGAGCATATGAACACTTGAAAGAAGGGGGCTCACACTGACTTCAGAACAATCAATATACAGGCAGCAATGAGACAATCTGGTAAAGAATGGCAGAGAGAGGCAGAAAATAATAGACATGATTTGACTGTGAGCATTGAGGGTACAGAGAGGAGCAGAGTAAAGTGTGTCACAGCCAGCCAGCTCAATATAACTACTAGCATTACAGGCGGAATTCAGAACAGAAATACAATTCTGTGATGTGGTGCTCTGCAGTTTAAAGACATTTTTTTTTATATAAGTTTAGACAAAGTAATAGACTGAAATCTGTCTCTTCATAAAGAAAGGTACAGACTTAGCCTTAATGTCCGATGCAAAAGTTTACAACAAAAGATAAAGAGAACAGCCGATCTGTTATCCACTGAATTCTGCCTCCTTGTTTAGTTTGAGAGGCAGCCTTAATTAATGCTCAACAGCG